GGAAATAGACAGGGTGTGTGTGTGTGTGTGTGTGTGTGTGTGTTTGTGTGTATGTGTATGAGAGAGATGGAGAGAGAGAGGAGGGGGAGAGGTCCTGGAACTAATATAAGGAAAGAAGAGGAACTTTGAAAAATGTTATTGGAAAATTGCATGACCCATTACGAGACCATTTTCTCGTACTGACACCCAGTCATGCTAGTAGACCAATTCGTCCCCTCTCCCCACTCTCTCTCCGCCTTACTAAAAACTAAAGTTGAGAGGGTTTTGTATCTCTGGAATCCGTGTGAAAATGTCCACTCTTCGATTAAAACAATACTGCTTTTCAGATCAAATTGATGTCGATGGGTGATTAGTTAGCACCAATTAGTTCTGTTTTCTGCGAATCTTACAACTTACAGGCTGTATATACGTAGACCAATATGAGATGACTCCACCAGGCATCTAGTACTGTCAAGCACTTGTCAACGGGGGCATCTGCCCGATCATTGTGGCGCGTAATTGGACAACATGTTGCGTTGTTGGCGCGGCTCGTCTGCAAATCAAATTGACACATACGCCTCCCTATTCTGGCCTTGTTTGGGGTACAAATGAATGCTGATTATCTCTGGCGAGGACTTGGGATTCAATTGCTTCACCACCTGAGTGAGTGCCTAGGATTTTTGTTGGATTAACGATTTCTACTCTACAGGTTTCTATTCGATAACAGGCAAACCGAATCATGTACAAAGTCACTCTCAATCTGTGCAGGGACGATTGAGTGATGATCATTGGCTTCTAAAAAAAGAAAGGTTTAATGTAGAAAGCAAAGCTATTCCAGTCGAAAACACTTTGATACAAGTGCTTTATAACACCACAAAAGGCTCTAGAACATGTCGCGATGATTAAAACGAGAGCAATGTGTTTCAATTAATTCAGTTTCATTCACAGGAGTCTCAGGCCTCTACTTCGAAGTTCGAATACCGGATCCCCATGAAACTCAGTATTTGGCGCTTCGGATGAATTGAACATTGTAAACAAATATCTAAGAACTGGAATGTAAGTTGATATTCTAAGAGTTCTTTTTAAAACTTATAGTAATTCGGAAATCTTGAAGTATGATAATCAACTCTGATATTTCACAAAAGAGGTACCATCAAGAGCATGTAAAATTGCTTGGCGTAGGCATAGAGGCTCGCTTGAGTCCCACGTTCTTGTTTTATGCCATGCCACTCGTTCAATCGCGGGCGCTCCATTCCGATGCCCAGGCCTGCGCTTTTGTTTTTATCGGTCTCTGTACAAATAAATACCTCTAAACCATAAATCAGTCATCGTTGAGCAATGTTCAATTAATAATGATATGAAAATATTGGAGTTTGATTGGCGACTAATAAACTGACCTTGTTCTATATGATAAACACATTGAAGCATGGGACTTGTGATATGGGTCGAGAATGAGGCGAAATCATGGATTTTTTTTGCTTTAGTTTGTATTTCTCCTTTTGTTATTATTTATTAAATGCACCGTGCTGTATATTATGTACTAAAATTGCGCAAGAAATTGTTATAAGCAATAGTAGGAGGAGTAGGAGTAGTAGTAGTAGTAGTAGCAGTAGCAGTAGCAGTAGTAGTAGTAGTAGTAGTATTGGTAGTATTTGTAGTAGTACAGTATTAGTATTAGTAGTAGTAGTAGTAGTAGTAGTAGTAGTTTTTGTTGTAGTAGTAGTAATGTCGTAGTAGTAGTAGTAGTAGTATATTATTAATATTATTAATACTTAACAGTATCACCATTATCGTTATTTTTACGTTTCTTTTGTTCTGATGTGGTTCAACAAAAATAAAACAGTTTGAAGATTGGAGATTGAAATACATAACATCGGATTTTGTTAATAATTTAATTCTTATTTTATAAGTTTAAAAAACAAAATATTTGTGACTAAGATCTGTAGATGTGCCAAATCCAAGGACTAACTATTCATCAACACAACTGCATGAGAGGAGGTCAAAGGTCGAATTAGAATGAGTAATATGAATTGCCATGGCAACAAAAGGCCAATGGTGAAGAGGTTACCTACGAAATACAGATAAAACTAATAATTGGAGCGGGAAAAAAAACATGTAGCTAAAATAAGGAAACATTTTTATTATCATATTCATAGTTTTCAACGGTTGGGAATTAATAGGGAAGGATACAAATTGGAAGAACAAAAGGAGCTCAAAAATTCAAACGTAATGCTCACAAAAATAATGGTTTTATTACGTTTTATAGTTTATTGTCTGAAAAACAGAGAACGTAGGAGGCCTGAAGAAAATTTGAGTAAAAAAAGCGAAATGCCACGAAGCAGACACAAAGGAGAAGTAATTATCGTGTGTGGAATTGTGGGATATGTCGCCCATATCCTCGGGAAAAAAGCGACAAGAATCGAAAACAAAGGGAAAAACAGAGAAAAAGGGAGAGAGAGGGGAAAAAAAGATTTGGTCCGTATGACAAGATGAGGAAGGAAAGCGTGTCAGAAGAAACGAATGGAAAACATGTGGAAGTGGGCTTTACTCCCGTCATATGGGCCGCTAGACAGGGAGGATGGGAGGTAAATATCAACATATGTGCAGGGTGATCGTACTCAATTAAAGATCTCGCATTCAAAAGTTATTTTCATAACTGAATATGATAGTATTTTGGAGTAGTATGCGTGAATCATCCTGAGTTACGGTCCAAACATTGGCGGAGTGAAAAGTCGAACGAACGCTTCTTGCCAAACGATTACACATAGGAAAGTCATCGCTTATACACAACTTACAAGTAAACTGCGATTTAGGATTTCCCTGTATTTACCAACAACAATGTATGTAATAAATACACGTTAGAGAAGATTTGCTGGGATAATTATATTTTCTCGTGTAGTAATGATATAAAAATATGGCATATACACTATCGAATATTCATGTCAAATGTATAAGCTTAGAACACAGAATTAATTAAGGAAATCATGATCATGTTGATTGTAAAATTGACCTCATTCCCCAACAAAACGCGGCAATGTTTTAAAGGATGATTACGGAACACACTATTTTTGACAGTTTGTAAGTTTGCGTTGATCGTTTCCCAACAGGTGTTCAACGCATTCGGACTGACAAACGTATTGTTCTAAATTAATCACAATTTATATTTAGATGACGAATGTCAGATCAAAATAGGATCATCAGGCATTTAATTCTGTATAAAAAGGGCTGGTCATTAGTACCTTTGTTTGGGTTGCATCTATTCTCTACGATAGTATTATAACGAGGTATAGTGCCAAATTGTATTTAGATTAGCTGGGCCGTAATTCCTCAGGATGGTAATTCAAACAATAGTAGGTCATCTAAAGCATTCAAATTGTATCAAATGATAAACAATGGTTGCATATACATGTATAAATATTTATATATATATATATATATATATATGGAGACAGAGGAAGGATCGTGACATAATTATTAATTGTTTTCAATACCATATTAAATGTAAAGGCCTATGCAACTAGCCATGAGCTACAAATCGTCCGTTCTGTATAAAGGCTGCTTTTATCAAGGGCCGTGGAAATTTACTTAATAAAACCCGATAATTCTGTCTCCTGAAGTGGGGAAAAAATCCTTTCAACAATATTTCTTTTCTTTTCAAATCAAAAATTTGGATGAAAGCAAAAGAGAAGGAAAATGTGGTTTTTTAATGAAATAACGAGAGCAAAGCGATCCAGTAGCAGTAATATTGTTTGTTGTCGCTGTCAATTCGACAATGTATACAGTCGGTATTTGTCAGTCACAATTACGTTGTGGGATATAGGCACTTGACATACATTAATTCGGACTCTGTATACAATAAAGGGACATAATAATAGAATAAATTACCCCGACACCTGTACTTATCTTATCAATAATTCATATCAAATAACATTAATGTATTTAAGCAAAGCTCTATGTTTTATTGGTAAAGCTACAAATCGTATAGATTTAGTATTTTAATTCATGAAGAAGAAAAAAAACTAACGATCGCTTGAAAAAGTAATGGAGGATATCGCAGTTCATCAGGGATGTATGTATCAGCGCTGTCCCAATAGTAAATTCCTGCCACATTCAGAATACGTCACAGTTTGTTTCTAAAATAGGAGTAAATCTGAACTTTGACCTCCATTCATTACTGACCAGCAAGGGGAAGGGGGAGTATGAGTTGTGAACTGGAAAACATAGAAACGTAACCACACATGCATGATTGGTGCATGTGCATGTGGTGGTTAAAGCTGACGATACAGTCGATACTTGCCCGCATGGAAAATAATAGTGTTTTTTTGTTAAAATCCATACAGTACATTTCAATTAAGAAACGGTACAATTAGTAAAACTCTTCTCTTCAATGATTCGTACCCAAATATCGTTATAATTATGTGGGTCAGTTTACATCAGCATGTTGGATGCTTTCCCAGATGATATGGTAAGAAACTATCGCAGGCCTATTCTGATTTTTAAAAAATGATGTTGCCGAATGAGCGGGAACACTTATTTTAAGCCAATGGGAAAAATATCTTCTCAGTTATAATAGTTGTCGACAGAAAGATTCGAGACAAAAATATTATCCCAAAGTAGTACGGTAATTATAAAGTATAATGGATATCATAGAATTACAGAGAATATCAATTATACTCTATTAATTACTTTGGTAATAATCGTCCTCATTGCAATAAAAGAAGATTGGTAATCCAAAAAGTTAGTCACGTTATCAAAGATGCATGACGGCTAAGTCACTGACTGTCCAAGCATGAGAAATTTAGTTTTCCCATAACGCTTTTTGAAGTACAGTTGCATCCAAGAATGATAAATCATAATGAAATGATCAACATGAGATCCAGGGAAAGGCCTCCATTCTGGGGAAGAGGTATTGGAACCTAATTGGCAATACACAATATTGAAAAATGACATTTGATATGGATGCACTGTATTCTTTAAGGATGGAAACGTAAATAGGAAGAGTAATTGAATGTTTTTCTCACCTGTATTTATGTTTTATCAATGCGATGCCATGCTATTCCACGCCCCTTCCATCCTCCATACCGAGAACGCATAGCTAAGTCTTTCGTGGGCCATGTAATTACAGCTACCCACCATCTTTTGATCTTCCTCGTCACTCTTTAGAACTTGGAACAGAAAGTCAATATACCTCGATGCTAGCTTCAAAGTCTGTATCTTACTCAGTTTATCTGAGGGTAGTGTAGGGATGATTTTACGAAGGTTAGTGAAGGCATCGTTTAGTGATTGAGTACGTTGTCGTTCTCGCACATTGGCAAGGACGCGTTGATTCTGGAGTTCGTCGAACGATTGCGGTCCCTTTCGCCTGATTTTGTGCGACAGGCTTCCGCTGCCCGTCGATGAGCCGTCATCACTGCTGTCACCGATCTGGCACTCGTCTTCGCCTTCCGACTGCCGAAATCGTCGCTTGCGTCCGTAACGATGCTGCTTCATGGGGTCGTCATCCAGCTCGAAGTGCTCCCTGAGGTCGAGCTGTGGTTCGCGTTTCACATCCAAGTCGTCACATCGCCCATTCACATGATTCAAGTATTTCATGCCAACACCTCCTCCGTTCGTCATCACGCTGTCGTGGCTCATCTTCTGCGCGTGCACCATTTCCCCGCCGATGTATTCTCGGGGGTCGTACTCGTAGCCGCCGCAGTAAACACCGCTGAAGTTGGTGGTGGTAGGGTAGGATGCTGCAGCAGCTTTCCAGCGGCTTTCGTCGTAAGCATACACCCCGTTCGTGACTCCTCCTGAACTGCCTCCGTACCGGACAATGTGCTCCGTGGTTGCAGCTAGACCGGTCGATGTCTGATGTCGACTATATGGATGAATTGCCGTAGACCCCGTCAGAGAATTCACTGAAAGTAGTAAAAAGAGTAACGAAAATCAGCAGGTCGTCTCTTGGAGGGCTGATTTGTCGCGCGTGTGCAGTTATTGGCACCGTGTGTCGCTTATGGCTGGCGTGAGATGTGGGGTGCTGTGCAGAGCCCTAGTGGCATGGAATGGGAGGCGGGGCTTAGGCAAACACGACTGTCAGTTCGTTTTCTACCAATCCCCTAGGCTTTTTGATCCCCCTTTCTCTCTCCCTCTCTCTCTCTCTCTCTCTCTCTCTCTCTCTCTCTTCTCCCACACCCTCTTGCATTCCTACCCTCTGTATTTACCTCTACATTGTTTTCTCTCCCTCTTGTTTACCTTGATCGTACTATCTCTCTTTCTCTCTCTCTCTTTCTCGCTTTCACTTACCCTTTCTCTCCAGCTCTTCCCGATTTTCTTCCTATTAATAAATTGATCACCGAGACTGATGAGCCCATTGTTATTGAAATCTCATTCATTAACAAGACACCAAAGGTTTACGTTACATCTATTAGTTATAACATAAGCATTATATCAAAAAATGTGAGCGTGTGTACGGCTGCTTTTTATTGCAGATTTTAATTATAGTAGCTTATCCTTGGTATTAATATGTACGTTATACATGTACTAATACTATAGTTCAATGAAGTATCATTTCCTTCATTTGAGCATAGACTGTATAATTATGTAGATTTGTTCATTCTTTTTAAATTATGTATAGCAGTGTTGATACAAACGGCTTTTAGATTAGTTTCAGAGATTTCTAAACATTTCTAAAGTTGCTACATTTTCGAAATATGTTCACGTCCCTTTAAATGAGTGCAGAATGAATCATAAGAAACAAAGCCATGATTTCATTCTCAAAAACTCTATCCTAATCCAATAACTACGCACGTAAAACAAACTGAACCATGTTAACTAATAGAAAGTGAGCGATATTCTTGAAAATTGTTCACAACGCAAGATGGAGAGACTATATACAATGTACCCGTGAACTTGAATCGGGTGTTTATGTGAAGACGCGGCCACAGAGAGCCGGTCCCATCGGGCTAGCTTTCCGCTATCATTATTGGTGACTCACAGCAGATAAAACATCTTGAAACAAAGCTCCCTTCAAAACACACACATTCATTGCACCTCCTCTATTCTATTTATTTCCCTCCGAAATATTGCTTTCTTTCTGCATGAGTACGAGTATTGTACTGTTTGCTTAGTCATAACGACTCGATATACTGCTGATCGAAACGAACTCTCTGCGCATAAGAGAGCTACGTTATACATATTATTGCGTGGACAAGAAGGATTTATCAAGCTCCTAAACCTGGCTTTGAACTTTTATGAGGATGGGGAGAAACATTAAAAGAATATAAAGAATAAAGAATATAAAAGAGCAACAACATACTTGCACGAAGACATCATGATAACAATGAAGATATTCTACTTTAAAATATTCTGTGAGAAGTTACATTACATTGCTTTCATCTGTATGATTGTGAAGTCATAGGCCTTTCCGAGTAACTATTTAAATAATAAAATAGAATAAGAATCTGAAAAGTGATCATTAGGAACATCAAACCTCAGACCATTAAAAGTCTGAGGTTCAAGTAATTATATAACACATCGAAAAGAAGAATCAAGGCACAACCTCATTTGAATACTATTTAGTCAAGTCAAGTTTACCTTCAAATTAGGCCTACATTCATTTCCGCAAAACTGATCAATACTTTTAACAATGTATATAATATTTTTAAATTTAAATCAGCTTAGTTTAAGAACACTGTTTCTCTTTGTACATGATGTACTCCACGTGAGACCTCTCAAATGAATTAAAGCCCCACTGTCCTACTTGTAGCTACTTGCTCCCTCTATATAGAAAACTTCTCCAATTGGTGCCTGTTGGTCCCCCATGATCCTCTTTTTCTCATGTTAGTTGAGAGCTGAGTTAATGAGATAGCCACCTGTCAGTGACCTTGCTGTGTGGTCTAATCCCCTCTGGCCCAGTAGTATTGACGGTCTTTAATAGAACTGGAGCTGACGGGATGCGTTGAAATCATTATGATGACTTTAAAAGAAGATGGCTACAACTCCTGCAAAACAAGGGCAACCCAACCCTTGTAATAAAGTTGTTTGTATGGAAGCAGAACATTCAGAGAAACAGGTTGACGAAAGTTTGAAGTAAATCGGACCAATAATAAGAAAGTTATGAATGTTTGAAATATGAGATCACTACATCCATGTGAATGTCAAATTGGCAAATTTGTCAGTGGACTGTGACGTAGTGACGGATAACTTTCCCATTTGTCGTGTACACAGATATCACTAATTTTTTTTTCTTCTCCCAAGTGTTTTCACCCTTGGGGTACTTCTCAAAATATATCATGGAGAATATATTTCAGGTCGATCCATCCTAAAATAATTTTTGTTCTCAAGTTTCTTCTTTTATCAAAACCAACTTAATATTAGGGTGGACTTCCCCTTTAAGTATGGGTTCCAATGGATATATACCAAGTCAATAACGAATACATCTGTCACAGTCAGTAATATTTGAATTCGATTTATGTCCATACGATTTAAAATGGCTCCACAATTAGAAGGCCATTATTTCCCAAATCAATCGTATAATTCGCATTCTGTCTATGTCTCGAATACCATTATATTACGGTACATGAGCATACTTCCCTTTTTTTCTCTTTTATATACGATCGACCAGACGTTGCCCAATTTGCGTCATTTTAATGAGCTCAAATCAAGATCTGAAAAAAGGGGTCTCCACCATTTCCGTCAGTTCTTCACCACGCGAGAGTACCTACTGGTTAGACCGAAAACTGACGGAACTTTGGCCGCCCCACGCCCCGACCCCGCTCCGCCGCCAACCCCATGGCGAGCAGCTAATTTCGTGCGCTGCAGTACTTCGGTTATTTTCAGCCTATGACCAAAAAAAGAAATTCTCTATATCTTTCATTGATGCGAACTCGTTCGTTCACTGCGCGCTTCCACCGCACCCCGGTTGGCCATCGTCGCCATCTCCTCCCAGCCCGGAAGACTGGGAGTCGTGGTCAAGCCGTACTATACAATAGAAGTTGAATTGCGGCTTCTCCTCAATCTCCTTATATTTGTTGAAATATTATGACATCATAAATCATTATTAAATAATACTGTTTTGGCTTTAAAATTTTCATGAGAGAGTAACCCAATGCTAACATTTATCGACAGTATTCAAGCAAGTATAAAGTTATATAGGCCTATATAGGCCTATACTCTTTTAATAACAGCTATCATGACTGACATTACGGATAAACTTGATAATTAATCAATAAAGTACTAAAACTTTCATTTAGAAATATTTAAGAATTAAATATTAAATCGAACTTTCCGCATTCAAAAGAGTATTCCAAACAGAGGAATTAATCTTCTATTATATCAAATGTTTTTCCTCTTCCAATTTATGAGAATCTAAAACGATGGCCTTTTAACTTATTATTCATAACAGAGCATTAGTCAAATGTAAACACAATTCTGACCGAAAGACAATTAAGAAATAGTAAATAATTATTTTTAACCATTTATACTCAATCCTCTGTGCATACGGTAATCAACATCTTTTGCAGATTTTGTCGAATTTTGAATCATTTGTGATTATAAAACGTTGACAACATTTAATCCATGACGAATAATTTTATCTTTGTAATTTCAGAAAAGAAAATTGTCTCAGTGTGAAGAATTTTAAGATGTGGCATTGCATGTCAAAATTCTCGGTGTGAAATAGTATTTCTGTCAATTATAATGTGTTTGGCTCACCTGCAGTAAAATAGCGATGAAATACATACTGAAATTCATCACTTGCATTTTTTTAAATATAGTATATGATTTGAAGTCTAACTCCATTGTGAGTGTATTAAAACTAACACCATCCTAGCGATCCTCTCGACTGTCCTCGTTGAAGAAGGAAGAATTACTAAAATTTTGGCTAAAAATAAGTTGTAAGGTCACGTAAATAAAAGGGGGAAATATAGCTATATATGAATATTAAAAATCCACTGTATACCTGCTCTGAGTTGTATTACAATAAAAGCTAACCGTGGATATCCGTATGACCTTACTTAGTTTAAAAGCCAACCTTAATGTGTTAAGTGCTACAATTATATTTTTTACATTTGATAAAAAGGGAAAATAAGCTGATTAAGCTCACAATTTAGCAATTCTTATCTTCATGATCTACCCCGACTCTTAATTAGATGTTGTATTTGTGATGTACACTTATTAGTTCCTCACACATTTAGGTTATTAGTAGACTGTGAGTTTCAGAGGTTTTTTTTACGGTAAGCAAAATAGGGGGCATAATTTGAAATAAAACGAATATGTCTTGATCTCTATCTGGTCATCCGTAGAAGGGCGTAACTCCTTCTCTTTGGGTGAATGCCCTTCTAGCACTCCGCTGATTGAATGTTCCTGCAGGGTCTGGTAGAGAAAAACTCGGGCTCGGGCGCCTCTACCCAGCGGCGTAGGGTACATTGCCTCTCAGCAAGCAAGACCAAGCCCAACTATTAATTGGCTCATCAGTAAACCAGAGAGAGAGAGAGAGAGGGGGGGGTGAAGGGTAAAAGAAAGAAAAGGACAGACTAGAGAGAGAGAGAGAGAGAGAGAGAGAGAGAGAGAGAGAGAGAGAGAAAAGACATGGAAAGAGAGAGAGAAAACAAAAATATAGAAAGAGAGAGAGAGAAATAGAGAAAAAGAGGGGAGAGAGAAAAGAGACAGAGAGTGAGAGTGAGAGTGAGTGAGAGAAAGAGATAGAAAGAGAGATGAGATAGAGAGAGAGAAAAGGGGAGTTTGAGTGAGTGAGAGAGAGGGAGAGAGAGAGAGAGAAAGAGAGAGAGAGGGGGGGGGGTGGGTTCCTGGTAGAGAAACAGTCCAATATTGGCTGCACGAGAGTTCTTGGAAATATTCCATTATGATTATTTCTGTCATGGTTGATCAAAACCGCACAGACGACGGGGTATGCCTCGATATTTAGGCGTGTTATATGTACATAGGATGAAGAGAAAAATATATTCGGCGTGTGCCCTTATATGGTCAATATCTGTCAAGCTGATACATTTTCTTA